AATTTGTACTTCTGGAGCCAAGTTGTCCCTAAAATAATAATTAAGCACTTTCTGAGCAGTCTCCATGACCTATTAGAGTTCGTCTGAAGGCATTCTTCTATATGTAACACTATAGGGGCATGATCCGACAAGGCCCTAGCCAGACATCCCCTAACTGTGATTAATACAGCCTGCATGAAAAAAAATCGTTTAATTTTTAACCAGATACTAACTTGCTTGAAAGGAACACTGTAATGTTAGGAATACAAGAGTGTATTGTAATATTTAATAATACGCTCTCCCCCTCCACCTCCCCCACCCCCCCCAGCACTGTAAGGTTTAAGAGGTTTAATTTGGTAATATAAAAATTGCATATGGCCTCTTGTATCTTGTACCAGAAATGTGTCAATTTAGGGCAGTCCCAGAAAATGTGTTTCAGCATGCCAGATGACTGGTTGCATCTCCAGCATGTGGGGGACATTCCCGTGTAGATTTTAGCTAACCTGAAGGGAACCCAGTACCACCTCATCAGAATCTTGCAATATGATTCCTAATGGGATAAGTTGCAAGCTGAGGCCTTGGTGGTGAGGATAACCTGTAACCACATAGGAATGGGAAATGAGCTGTCTAGGTCTGCCTCCCATTGGGTCATCTATGGAAGTTTAAAGGGACACCGTAGGCATTGTAACTGCTTCATCTCATTCAACTGGTTAAAGTGTCTGGAGTCCTCTGGTACCATCATTTCTTTCAGCATTAAACAGTTTTTAAAGTTTTAATGCTTTAATGCTAAACAAGAGTCCCAGGCAATCCATCCCCTCTGTGCTGCTTTGGCTAATAAGGAAGTATTAGCCTGAGCAGCAATGGGCAGCTGTGATTGGCTGAGAGTGTCAGCTGACTGCTTTAAGCCTGTCAGAGTTCCAACTGACGGTATGAATGGGTATGACAACAAGGAAGTGTGTAATCTCTGCCTTAGCTACACATACTGAAGGGGCCGGACTGTGGGTGGCTAGGGACTCTTATTTTGTGGCATACTGCTCAAACATGGTTCAGCACTGAATGGAGGGACAATGCCAGGGCACTCCAGGCACTATAACCAATTCAAAGAGATGAAATGCTTATAGTGACTACAGTGTCTCTTTAACTGTAGTTTCTACGTTAATTAAAGTGATATAGCAAAGGGACAACAGTTTAGAGGGTAGTTTCTTGTTTATGCAACATTGGCCAAATGGTGTCAGGTGAGAGTCTTTGCCTATTTTTATCTGAATTTGTGATGGAATATGTTTCACTGGTAGGTAAGTGAATATTTCCCTTGGAGGAAGGTAGAATTCTTGTTGCATAATATGGAAAGGTTTTTATACCCTTCGCGTCGTGGAGTGACCCTAGGGTGATTGCTCCTCCTTTAATCCAGTTGTTAAGTGAAATATCTTGGAAGAGGGATGTATGGGATTATATAGGAGCCCTGGATGCCAAGCTGATGGGGCCTAATAAGCCTTGGGACTATTGTCTTCAATTGTGTAGTAAAAATTTCAAACTTGGTAGTATTGACTGGATGGAGCTATGAGGCATGGAGGTTGCACGATATTTTAAATGTTTTAAAGAATATTTATTGCACAAATATGTAAACAGCATGTAAGAAAGAGTCCCCTCAAGAGACTACAATGGAGTCTAATGGGCCCTGGAAAAGGGTCTTTTTAACACGCTGGCCCCATTCACAATATAATAATATAACAAAGCTCTCTGATACCCAGCCCAAGTTGGAACTTCTCACCTTAAGTACTGTTGCTGGATAGCTGCTGTGGCCACTGGCAGGTTACTGTGGCTGGTTGACAGGCAGGTTGCCTGCTTTGGCAGGATGCTGTGGCTGGCTATAGGAGTGGATCCAGAACCTAATCTCGGGAGGGGCACTGGTAGGAACAATCCAGGCACAATACCCACTTTAGCTCCCTGTAGTGGTTATGGTGCCAGGAGTGCCTTGGCACACTCACAAAGTAAGTAATCAAACCGTTTAACAGCAGTTAAAAATAATAGGATAGGGTAATAAAGGATAGGGTCTGTAGTAGGGAATATGGGCAGTAGTGCGCGTGTGTGTGTATGTGAGTGGTGCAGTGTGTGTGTGAGGTGTGCAGTGTGTGTTTGAGGGGTGCAGTATCTGTGTGTGGGGCTTAGTGTGTGTGGTGCAGTGTGTGTGTGAGGTATGCAGTGTGTGTATGGGGGGAGTGTGTGTGGGTACAGAGTGTGTGAGCGGTACAGTGTGTGTGGGGTGCAATGTGTGTGTTTGGGGGGGCAGTGTGTTTGTGGGGGGCAGTGTGTGGATGTGTAGGGAGTTATTGCGTGGGGTTAAGGGGTGAGATCAAAACAAATATATCAATTTTTTTTTAAATTAAAGATAAATGTACTTTTTATCTCCCCTCACGTCTTACCTTTGCTCAGGGAGGTGGGGTTATTACTTGGTTCAGTGGAAAAGCCCTGGTGATCAGGTGAAAGTGAAATCTATCCTGCAGCTCCTGGGGCTAGAGTTTACTCTCGCAAGATCCAAAGAGTTGCCATGGTAACAGCGGCAACGCTCCCAGCTCATAAAGAGATAATCCAGCGTAGTGGGTGTAATGGAGAGATATGGGCTGTATTGGGTGTAATGGAAGGATAGTGGCTGTATTGGGCGTAATGGTGGTATAGCGGCTGTAGTGTGTGCAAGGGAGGTATAAGGGTTGTAGTGGGTGTAAGGGAGGGATGGCGGCTGTAGTGGGTGCAATGGAGGTATAGGGGCTGTAGTGGGTGTAGTGGAGCGGCTGTAGTGGGTGCAATGGAGGTATAGGGGCTGTAGTGGGTGTAGTGGAGGGGCTGTAGTGGGTGTAATGGAGGTATAGTGGCTGTAGCAGGTGTAATTGGTGTAATGGAGGGCCTGTATTGGGTGTAATGGAGTTATAGCAGCTGTAATAGGTTTAATGGAGGCATAGCGCTATAGTTGGTGTAATGAAGGGATAGGGGCTGTAGTGGGTGTAATGGAGGGATAGGTGCTGTAGTGGGAGTAATGGAGGTATAGGGGCTGTAGTGGGTGTAATGGGTGTAATGGAGGGGCTGTAGTGGGTGTAATGGAGGGATAGCAGCTGTAGTGGGTGTAATGGGAGTATAGCGGCTGTAGAGGGCAACAACCAATGTGGAATATTTTAAGGTGTATAAACTGAAAATGGGAAAGCCCTATATTTGACCCTGTAATTCCAAACCCCATAAAACCTGTACATGTGGGGTACTGTTTTACTTGTGAAACATCTCTGAACACAAATATGAGTGTTTTAGAGCAGCAATATGTATAATGATGTTGATTTCGTCAGTGACAATGCTGTTTTTGTGTGAAAAAATGCAAAAAACAAATATGAATGCTAACTTTGGCCAGGGTTTGTGATGAAGTGGCTAATAAAAAAAACTTGACATGCCATATTTTGAATACCCTAAGTCGTCTACTTTTGCAAATGTTATGCCATGATGGGGCAATTTTCATTTCTGGGCTGCAATATGGTCTCAAGGGTTACATAGTCCAAGCAAACCAATCTGGCAAATTTCAATGTGTAAAAACTGAAAAGGGGTTAGCACTACATTTGACCCTGAAACTTTCCAACACCTCATAAAACATGTTCATGGGGGGCTACTGTTGTACTCGCTAGACATCGCTGAACACAAATATGTGTATGTTATTGCAGTAAAAGCTAACATTATTATGATATTCACAGTTAAAGTGCTATGCAGAACTTAAAAAAAAAAAAAATATTTCCCAATTTCTCAAACTTATTTAGGTTTTATTCTCATTATGTTTCATATGTAAATATTGGATTTGAAATGAATGCCCTATTTTTCCTGAACAAAATGGTGTATAATAAGTGGGTATACTTAATATTAAAGAAATGAATAATGGTTCAATAGACATATAGCTCAAATTCTAGGTTTTGATTTTATTTTGTTGTCATGTACATTTGCCTCCGTACTCCGGGGGTTAAGCAATCTGTTTAACAGGCTTCATAACAAAACATATGAAACAAACTGTAGCTTTTTCATGTAGCTAGAATCACCACGAATACACAATAAGTCACACAGTAAAGATGCTGTTTATATACAATTGTGTGAACATATTCATTCAAGTTATAATCAATACATTGTGGAGATTTACACAATTATCATAATCAAAATAAGTGGTTACAACAACTAAAAGCAGGCAATCGCCAAGGAAACCAATGGAATCAGGAGTTATAAGATACAGCAGGCTTCCCCAAACTCCAGCCCTCCAGATGTTGCTGAACTATAACACCCATGATTCTATAAATGAAATAGGCTCAGAATCATGGGAGTTGTAGTTCAGCAACATCTGGAGGGCCGGAGTTTGGGGAAGCCTGAGTTAAAGTATTGATCAAATTGTTTATTGCCTGTTTTATCACATTTCACTGGTTCTTACTCTACTTTAACAACGTTCATTTTTCAGATCATATACTCACACACAATATCATGGCAAATGGATACATAGAGTAAATAAGAATTCACTACTGGCATTATCGAATATAAGCAGATGATTTATTAATTAATTTTCATGCTTTCATTTCCTAAGAAAGTTACTACATCACTACACTTCAAATCACCAAATTGTTTTAAACAAGTACATATTTGCAACTTGAAGAAGAACAATGTCATGATTATCTTCTAAATATATATATCAACACACATATTCTATTTCTAGTTTTTGTTAAGGAAGGAGATGTAATTTCTTAAATTTATTACAGGCACTCATCCAGATTAAAAATACCCATGTAAATGGGTTACAATAATATATCCAATCCTATAGTTATGTATATATGAGCTAAGTCTTTCATACATAAAATCCATGGTACATGCTTATCAAACCTCCACCAGTTACCCAACATGCTGGAGGAAGGTTCTAAACAAGATACACAAATGGACCTGGAGTGAAGAGCAACAGTGTCACCAACATCACCACTTCAATTAACGCCCATGATAGGCACTGGATACTTCCGACACCACTCTGTTGAACATCATTGACAGTTCTCTAAACTCTGCTGAACAGTTTGACAGTTCTATAAACTCTCTGTAGTTACAGTAACAGGTACTGTGCATAAACTAATTCTAAATATTAAATCAGGCAGGGGGAGAGTTGTTTTTGGAGGTTGAGCTACACCTTCGAGTAAGGTAAGACCAGTCACCTTTGGCCTGGAGACAAGTACAAATTAATCTATTTTCTGCACACAAATCTCACAGATCTTCATGTGGATAGTTGGAACATTCAATAAATAGATTTGATACATTAAGGTTTTTGGAGATGTAAGGTGTGAAATGATAAATACTTTTAACCTTAAAAGTATGACATGCAGAGGATGACTGAGCATTCAGTGTGTCTAAGAGACACAGACTGTGTCTTGTTTATCTCAACTGCCACCAATGACAGCCAGAGTATCTTAAAAAATGTGATGAGCATTGTAACATGTTAGGCTTCGTAATATGACCAACTAGTCGATCCCAGATATTGCAGTCCACTGGATAATAACTTGGTGAACATTGAGGTTCCAGGCTACGACTACTTACATAAACTGAGCATTTAGTGGGAAAGATCCATACACCACCACCATAGCATCAAACACGTCAACAGGAAGCTGTTGAAAAAGTGTTGGTTAGGCGAATGTCCAGGCTAGAGTCCTCCTCAATGGTTCATTACATCAACAGTAAGGTGGGCAACAGAGACAAGAACACGTTGTTGAGGATTCAATAGACAAGTACCAAAACTATTGTCCATGTCTCCATGTCTCAGTAAAGTTAATGGGCCAAGCCCAGCCTGTTAAATTCCCATCCATTAACATCTTCAGAACTCAACTTTTATGCAACGATGAGATTGCATGAGCTAATCTGAATGATTTATACTTATAGCAGCATTTTATTAGCTCTGTTATAATAATATGATCACGGGTTGGATATCAATGAAATTATCTGTTGAAGAAACAAACTTAGTGGATAAATGTACAGCAGGGATGTCCAAAAAGTAGATCCCCAGATGTTTTAAAACAACATCTTCCATGATACTTTGCCATTCTAAAGAATTACAAAGCATCATGGAATTTGTAGTTCTACAACATCTGTCGATCTTCTGTTTGGGAACCCCTGATGTACAGAATTGTATAATAACAAAAATCTAGACAAGGCAAGAGTTTTAGCTTTGAGTCTTAGAATTTTGAATTCTTAGAAAATATTTACGCTAATAGTAAAGTTTTGGTGAATATTCCAGAATAGTTGCATCTTTTCAATATTTTTAAAAAACAGTTTTTACACCACTCAGTTTACCAACCATTTAGTTGGACCACGTTGTCAGATAGCAAACCACAGGTGTCCAATGCAACCCAGTATGATTTCTTAGAAATTGGTAGTTTTTTTTGTCCATCAAGTGATATTTTGTGTATTCTGTAAATTCTTACGATTTTTTAAAATCATTTTATATATGTTGGTTGGTTAGTCACATATTTCAAAATATATTGCACTGCGTCGTTGACCAAATGTGTTTCCTACTGTTATTGATCATCTAAACTATTTAATAAGATATATTAAAAAAAAAAAATAATGAGAACTATTAACTAGTAACAGTGGCATCATTTCCAGCTGTAGATTTTATACCCAAGAGTCTTTTTAAAGTATTTATCAGTTTTCTGTTGCCCAAAATTAACGTAATGGCATTTATTGTTGGAAAGGCTGAAACCACAGTGAAACAAATGGGAACGAGAATGGTACCTGATCTTGGATAATTAAATATTAAATTAAGAGCAACATAAAAAATTAAATAAAATATCAAAAGGGCAGTTACTGTTTGAGCTGCTGCTAAGTGGGAATTAATATTTGTGCTGCCATTGTTGTTTGCCATCTTTCGCATATGCTTACAGAGGGACGTGATGATTGCTATAGCAGTAGCAGAGATTATCAGGAAAGCTACAGCGGATATTAGCATGTACAATTGAAAGAGGAATCCACATTTGCTTTTAAAAGAAATTTCAACCGTTACGGTATAATCCATTGATAAATTGTTAGGGACGAAAGTAGCATTTCTGTAAACATCCCAATTCAGTGGCAGACCAGCAATATTAGTCGCTGAAATATTATTTGTCATAATGGTAGCATCACTGTACGAATCTAAATGCAATGACTGTCCAGTGGTATTATTCATTGGGAGATCAGTTGTAAGAAAAAGGGCGTCTTTGTATAAATCTGCATGCAATGGCAAACCAGCCGTATTATTCACTGGGAAGTAAATTGCAACTACAATGATGCTGATATACAAATCCCAATACATTGGCAGACCTAATGCCCATGACATGACAATACATCCAAGTAAAAGCCAAGGGACCATTTTTGGAATGTTTGTCTTTAGTCCGTAGAAAAAATCCCCTTTGAGATTCAAAATTTTTACACCATAGTAAAAGCACAAACAAGTAGAACACCAGAGACTGCAGAAAGAAAGTGAATTTACGATGACTAAAAATGGTTTGGACACCCACTCCTGTAAGTAGATTTTTGGAAACAGTTCAAAGCAAAAATGATTGGCGACCACTGTTCCTTGGAGGAAAATGTTAGAAAATCCAATGCTGTTGATGATGAGATTGCAAGGATTAATGTCGTTTGTCTTCAACCAGTCCAGAAAGTGTACCATCAATATAAAAGTATTAGAAGTTAAACCAGTCACAAAAAATATTCCGTGAAATACTAAAAGAATAATAGTAGTTACATCTGCCATTGCAAAAAAAACCTACAAAAAACAGCAATATTCTTCTACAGCTTATAGGCAAATTAAACAACCAGTATTGCTGAAGATAAACTTGTATTTTATTTAAATAATGTTATCCAGTGTCCAGTATCCTGCTTGAAAAATATTGGTTAATTATTTTTTTCAAATGTATTCTTCCATCTGTAATTGTAGATTGTACAATTGTTGATTTTTTAAAAATGTAGATCTTTTTTAGAATAAATAATTAATAGTCCATTCTGGAAGTAATGCAATCTTTTTCTTTAAATTTGTAGAAGAGACCATCTTTTGGAGAACACTTGTCCATGACAAAAGAGAATTCAGAAGATTTCTTCTCTAAAATATTGTCTTGTCTTCGTGTGTATTTTTCTACAGCAACAAGGAAGCCTCTGTTTTAGACTAAGTTGAAGCACTAATCCTCTACTTGTAGTATCGCTTGAATCAAGCTTCGTGACAGCATGAAAATATTTGCAAGTCAACACCAATCATTTCCTTCCCTTGTTTGTGTTTCACAAAGACAGCTTTGGTGTTATATGACCATTTCTTTTATTGCCACCTGTACATTATAAAATTATATGAGAGACTATCTTGTATTATATTCATGAATGCTCTTCTTTTTGATGGAAAAAGTTAAAAATATTTGTGTAATCAAAGCTTGGTAATAGTTCACTGACCTCGATCAGTACTTGTTGAATGTACCGCAAACTTGGATGACGTATTATAATTCTTTTTTTTTTTTTTACAATCTTTATTTTTGCCTTTTGTCATGGGTACATTTTGACAGTTATTGAACAGAGTAAAGTACAGTGTAACAACTTTTATGATATGTGAGATCAAACAATATTTAAACACGTCAAGCTATGTAGAACTACAGTACAGTCGATAAGTTACGATAGGTGAGGCCGGTACTGTGGCAGCGTAGTGTAAGGCCGTGTCTTTTGGTCACTATGACCCTGGGCGTTGGTCGTTGTCCCTCTAGGAACACATTGTGGTGTTGTAGAGTCAGGGTCGTAGCTCCCTGGCACCGGAAAATGGACCAATATAATAACGTAGTCTCCAGTCAGCTGTCATGGGGCTATTGGGTCCCACCTCTGCGGGACAGCTGTGTGTCTACCTTTCATGAGGCCAATGTGTTTTAAGTGGTGTGTGATGTCTTGGTAAGGTAAGTATGGCCGTCCTGGTGTTAAGTGGGTCCAACGTCCGATGTGTCAGAAACCAACTTGGGTGCTTGTAACTGTGGTAGTCGTCAGAAGGGTTGGTTCTCGGTCAGCAGTTCGTCCGTCAGTCAGAGCAGGTGGGTGACAAAGGGAGGGATGGAGGGAGGAGGGTAGGAGGGGGTGAGACGGAGGGCCTCCGGCCCCCCCGCCTGCCGAGAGGTACCACAGCCAGGGCATCCAAGTGCGAGTACATTTCTCTTGTCTATCATGCAGTGCTGCTGTAAGGGATTCCATGTTGTATAGTTCTCCCACCTTGTCGATCCACTGCCGGAGCGTGGGCGCATCCTTTTGTCTCCACCTTGTAGGGACCAGTGAAATGGCTGCTGTCAGTACGTGTTTTATTAGAGATTTTTTGTATACTGAGAGGGCCATGTCTGTGTGGTGTAGTAGCATGGTGAGGGGCTGGAGTGGTAGGTCAATGTCCGTGATTTGTTGGATGGTCTCTTGGATCGTTGCCCAGAAGGGGGCGATGCCGGGGCAGTCCCACCAGATGTGGAGAGTGGAACCATCGTTAGCGCCACATCTCCAACAATCACCGGGTATCTCTACGTTTATACGGTGCAGAATATCTGGGGTTCTGTACCAGTGTGTAAGGATCTTAAAACTCGTCTCCTGGAGTTTGGAGCTGATGGAGCATTTACGTGTTAATATAAAAATGACGTATTATAATTCTATAAGTCTCCTCTTGGTCGGAGAGTGGTTCAGGAGGGTAGACTAGGAGCTAGGGCTTGGAAGTCCCTGAATGTCGCTGAAGCTGCCTCAATAGCAGAGGTAGCTAAGTATATAGAGCGCGGGCAGCAAATTATTGGAGAATTAGACGCACACATAAGGAATCAAAGCTGCTCAGCTTATCACAATGGTTATAGAATTGTAGGGAGGGCTATAGTCCTTTATAAACCCAATCACAATCCCAAAGGTCTAATAGGCATATAAGTGTGTGCTGGCTATGGTAAGTATCTTGTTTCTAAGCAGTCCGGTATGGGCAAAAAAGCTAACGCCCCACACACACACCACTAAATAGAAGCTTAAGATAGAATATTTTACTTTATTGGAATATGATTATGTATAAAAATGTGACAACTATAGGGCTGAAGGAGCATTGGAATAATGTTCTTGTATACAAATGGGACAGCTATATGATTGAAGAACTTTATATTAGTCTCACCGGGTATCTCTACGTTTATACGGTGCAGAATATCTGGGGTTCTGTACCAGTGTGTAAGGATCTTAAAACTCGTCTCCTGGAGTTTGGAGCTGATGGAGCATTTATGTGTTAATATAAAAATGACGTATTATAATTCTATAAGTCTCCTCTTGGTCGAAGAGTGGTTCAGGAGGGTAGACTAGGAGCTAGGGCTTGAAAGTCCCTGAATGTCGCTGAAGCTGCCTCAATAGCAGAGGTAGCTAAGTATATAGAGCGCGGGCAGCAAATTATTGGAGAATTAGACGCACACATAAGGAATCAAAGCTGCTCAGCTTATCACAATGGTTATAGAATTGTAGGGAGGGCTATAGTCCTTTATAAACCCAATCACAATCCCAAAGGTCTAATAGGCATATAAGTGTGTGCTGGCTATGGTAAGTATCTTGTTTCTAAGCAGTCCGGTATGGGCAAAAAAGCTAACGCCCCACACACACACCACTAAATAGAAGCTTAAGATAGAATATTTTACTTTATTGGAATATGATTATGTATAAAAATGTGACAACTATAGGGCTGAAGGAGCATTGGAATAATGTTCTTGTATACAAATGGGACAGCTATATGATTGAAGAACTTTATATTAG